CTCCCTCTGACTGGGACTGGGAACTAGTGCAGTTCCCGTTCTGAAAGCTTATCTTTAGATGGAACTGGTTCTTCTAGTTTACATCTTTAAAGGATGTTTCGGTAAAATCAGGTCAGGATTCCTTCAAAGCAGCACTGAGCCTTTAGCCACTAGGGGCGCTAGACCTTTATCTTCCAGGCTTAGTGCCCCCTGCTGGCCTCTGGCAGTACTGTCTGTTAATCACCCAGTGAGTTCTGGTTCTGGTATCAGACCAGTTTGGACCAGTAGGTCCAGAATCCAGCAGTTCCTGGTAAACCTTCGATCCTCCATTAAGGAACCAGAAACACGTCTGATTGGCTAACAGCTGTTAGCTTAGTTAGCTCTGGTGTTTCAGTGGAGCTCAGACTGAAGCGGCGCTCCGGGTCACATGACCCATTCAGTGACGGATCGACCCTCTGAGGTCACAGAGGAGCATCGATACGCAGCAGGAGATGAAGATGGAGCTAAAGGCCTGATCCCAGATTAAACTAACAGTGAGGTCAAAGGTCACACGGTGCTGATCAGCCCTCCCTCCTCCCACCTACCCAGGTTCTCGATGGAGTAGTATCTCTGCTTGCTGTCCACGCGGACCGTCTCTGCGTAGGGGCTTCCCACGCCGTAGCCGATGATGTAACCTCGGACCAGGATGTTGGGGCTGAGCGGCGGCGTCCAGGACATGATGATGCTGCTGGGGAGCGGCCTGACGTGCAGAGAGCTGGGCTGGTCGGGCACCTGACTCTCTGCCAGGAGAAAAACCACAGCACAGAAGAAGAGCCATCAGATGGAAGGAGGGCGCAACACGCCGCGACACGACGTGTTCCTCCTCAGCATCAGATTAGAGCAGATTATCGGCCTCGCCGCTCCCTGGGGAGACGCCTCGGATCGCTTTAATCCATAGAAATTAGATTAACGTCTGTCAGTGAAACGCGGTTAGCAAAGATGTGTGGTTGTTTGTATCTGAAGGGCTTCCTGCTCAGCAGAAGCTCCTGTTCCTGATCTTTAGTTTGGTCCAATTATTCTCTGAGGGATCGTTAAAGCGCCTGCAGCCTGTTGGCTGCATCCGTCTTAATATGCAGAGAAGGAAACAAATCAAGCTTTCAATGCTTCCATTAATGGATTAGAGCGTCTCCAGAACATTAACTAGTTATTATTCAAAATCACCCAATTATTGGGAATTTTCTCTCAACTGCTTCCCAGTAAATCCTGGTTAAAGGTGAGCTAAAGGAACCATTTTACTCTGCATGTTGATCAGGCGCCGTCAGACGGGGGATGGAAGGGTTCTGATGGCGGCTTTGATGAATCCTTCTTCAACCAGAATAAACTCTTTATTATCAGAAACTGAATCCTGATCCATCAGATCCGCCTTTGTTTCCTTCTCTTTAATATTCCAGATAATCTACAAACTTTAAGAGAAAATGAAGGAACACAGAAAGGAAAGCAGTCAAAGGATCAAAGGGAAAACTAACCTGAGAAACGGCTTCAACAGAACCTGTCTGACAACACAAAGCAGGCTAGAAAGTTCTGATCGTTCTCTGATCCAAAGAAATCCAAACCGAAAGGATGTTTAGCTGCCTGTGGCCAAACGTCCGTCAGCCCCCTGCAGGACGGTCAGAAAACTGCGTGGACCGCAGCGTGGAACGGAGCGTGGAACGGAGCGTGGAACAGAGTGTGGACTGGAGTGTGGACCGGAGCATGGAAAGGTGCATGGACTAAAGTGTGGAACGGTGCATGGACTGGAGAACGGACCAGAACGTGGACCGGAGCGTGAAACCGTGCGTGGACCTGAGTGGGGACCGGAGTGTGGTACAATACGTGGACCAGATCGTGGACTGGAGCGTGGAACGGTGCGTGGAACGGAGTGTGGACTGGAGCGTGGTACGGTACGTGGACTAGAGCGTAAAACGGTGTGTGAAATGGAGCGTAGACTGGAGCGTGGAACGGAGCGTGGTATGACGGTGCGTGGATCGGAGTGCGGACCGAAGCATGGAACGGTGCGTGGACTGGAGTGTGGACTGGAGGGTGGAACGGTGCGTGGAACGGAGCGTGGACCGGAGCGTGGACTGTAGTGTGGACCGGAGTGCGGACCGGAGCGTGGAACGGTGCATGGACTGGAACGTGGACTGGAGTGTGGACTGGAGTGTGGACTGGAGCATGGAACAGTGCGTGGACTGGAGTGCGGACCGGAGCGTGGAACGGTGCGTGGACTGGAGTGTGGAACAGTGCGGGGAATGCTGCGTGGAACGGTGCGTGGACTGGAACGTGGACTGGAGTGTGGAGTGGAGTGCGGACCGGAGCATGGAACGGTGCGTGGACTGGAGTGCGGACCGGAGCGTGGAACGGTGCGTGGACTGGAGCATGGACTTGGTCGTGAAACGGTGCATGGACTGGAGTGTGGACCGGAGTGTGGACCAGAGCATGGACTGGAGTGTGGACCGGAGTGTGGACCAGAGCATGGACCGGAGCGTGGAACGGTGTGTGGACTGGAGCGTGGACTGGAGTGTGGACTGGAGCATGGACTTGGTCGTGAAACGGTGCATGGACTGGAGTGTGGACCGGAGTGTGGACCAGAGCATGGACTGGAGTGTGGACCGGAGGGTGGACCAGAGCATGGA